TCAAATTAAATCGCTTGTTTCTTTGTAGCAGTGGCAAAAATCATTTAAAAATTTTAAACCTATCATGAATGAAATTGCTTAAGGTTGTGACAATGTTCTTAAGGTAGTGCGACGTAGAAGGTGTGCTCAGTCTCGATATTCAATTGTGTACAACCTATCTCACCATGTTGAATCTTAGGTTTTGTAGACAAAAAAAAATGAGTGGAGAGGGAGAGAGAAAGGAGGCAAGATACATGACAATGGAAAGAAACCATGCAGCATGAATTTTAGTGGATTGGTCACTATTGCACTCACTAAAGTAACATTATGAGTACTCATATGATGATCGTTCAACATCTATAAAACTTTATCTGGGAATGTTTTTTGTTTACATCAGGAAAAAATAATTAACTTCTGCTTAGATGTCAGCTAAACAGTCAACATTTAAGAGATTTGATGAATTAATCACCTTTGCATCAATTTTGATAACGTTATGGGTATTTTTATTCTTGACCGACTACTTCATTATTAGTCTACATCAACAAAGATTGACATGTGGCATGCAAAGTCAGCATTTAGCTGTCAAAGTTAACGACGTTAAATCAAAGTTAACGATTTGATCATTTTTGCACTCATTCATGTAACATTATGAGTATTTATACCCTTATGATATTAGGTGCCCTTAGTTGATTACTTTGTGAGTATTTTTATCTCTTTTTCCTTTTTTATGAAAAATTAATTTAAAAAAATAAATTAAAATTAAATAAATAAAGCAAGTTTAACTAAGAAAATTATCAATTATAAACAACGCAATCAATTACAACTCAATAACCCTAACTTAATCTTTTTCATCCACAAAATAAATTAATTTTATTTAACTTTATTATTTTTGTTTTATTATATATTTACCAAATTATCATTCAAGAATTAAATAAAAAATTAAATTATAGATTAATTAAAATCTCACTTAACTTATAACTTAATAACTATTCTAAGTTAGCCATACTAAAAACAAAATATGAGTAATCACTCAAATCAGGCCAAATTACTATTATGATGCTATATCAATCAATTACAACAAGTAAAATTTTAGATAAAATTTATAACCCAAAAAATATACAATAAAGCTATTCTAATCAGTAATAGCAATTAAATAATAAAATTTAAAGGTAGGGAGAAGAAGAGTAAATTAAAATAAAATCTTTCATAAATATCAAAAATTTTTAATTACAACTTAAGGTCATGATTTATGATTGCTCATATCAAAAAAATTAACTCTTCATAAAATTAAAAACCAAACAGCACCAGCTAAACACAAGAGCATGAAAAACCATAGCTGAAAGTGAATGACGATGAAGAGAAAATCGCGTTCGTTGCCTCTCCAATATAATCCCGCCGCCCATAGTTCCTTCTTCTATAAAGTGATGCGTCTCCTATGCGTCATGTGCTGCCCCTTTTATTAAATAAACCTAATAATTTAATCAAATTGACAAAGCTACTCTTAATAATCCTAATTGATAATCACATTAAAAACTCTAAAATAAATATAAACAAAATTTCTAAAATTTAATTCTTGACTTGATATTCAATTATGCCCATATTTTTCTATCTAAAATAATCTCCATCAATATCTTCAAAATTAGATCCAAAAAATATACACAAATAAAAAAAATTAAATAGAAAATATGTAAAAATATCAAAGATATCATTTATAATTTAAAACTCAAGATTTAGTTAGTTAAAATCTCAAAATTAAAAATTAGCTAATAAAATTAAATAATATCCAATCAAACTCAAATACCCTCAAATAAATATTTAAAATTCTAAGTTAAAAGGATAACAATATATAAAATTATCATTTATCACTGATTGGATAATTCAGTTCGGTTCGAGTTTCAAAATACTAGTATAAAGTTTCATCTCATGAGATGTTTGACAATTGACATGTTGGCATCCTACATGGCAATCTAGTCCCACATGGAAATACATGTGGCATCCAACATGGAAGCCATGTCATCAAGAAAGCAAAAGCCACATCATCTAAGTGTAAGAAAGTCCAAGTTGAGAAATTCAAATTCAAGAGCATACAACAAGTATTGGGGGCTCAAATCATCATATTAGGACTGACATAAAAAATTAAGAGGCAAAAGGATTTTAGATTTATTTAATAAAATGTTTACCCTGTAAAACAGAAAGCAAAGAACAAATTTAAACTATTTATTTTTTTACTTTTGAAATGAAATAACATGATTTTTATAGATACACATTGATGATACAATTTATAAGAGCCCCACAAGCCAATTGAAATTATGTGATTTTGGGCAGTGCTGCTGTTTCAGCAGTAAATTCGGACGTATATTCACTGCATAATTTTACTATTTCTTTTTTATTTTGTAAGATATAAACTACATAATAAAAATAAAAAAATGACAATAAATTTCTTTTAAATTATGTAAATGATATTTTGGTCTTTAAAATGTCTTAATTTCCCTATAGTCCTTAATTAGGGACTTTTCTGTCATTAAAAATTAATATAAATAATCAAATTATCTTTAATTCAAATATTTATTGTTATTCACAAGTTTTTTATTTTTTTGAAATTCAACTTTTCTCTTTAAAATTGTAAAAATTTAATAGTAATTTATAAGTTTACATTTAAAATTATAATATTTCTCAAGTGTTGCAAGTAAAATGTTTCTAGCTGCCAAGTAAAAAAATTAAGACGGTGTAAACCTGCTACCTATTAATGCTGCCGGTGCCGGCTAAAATGTTTCTGGCTGCCAAGTAAAACTAGGTATGATTGTCCATTCGTTCATTTTCAAACAAAAAAAATGTTTATAAATATTCGCCCATTAAAGACAATTATATTTGAGATGTGTTCGGATATTAAATGTAAATACTTCTTTCAAGAGGAATTTGAACCCTAGTTCACTGAGTTATAAGGGATTAGCTCATTCTGCTACACCTAACTCCCATTTGTTCATTGTTTGTTTCATTTTTTATTTTATAGCCCGATATCTTGAAAAACCTGAGATATTACCACCTTCTGTCCAGACTAATTCGGACCCCCATGAGACTATTTTTACCAACAATAGCCGCACAGATATTTTAGAGATATTCTTGACATATTTATTTAATGCGATTGTATATTTCTAAACTTAAAAAGCTCTCAAAATAAGTTGATTCAATTCTTTCAACCAGTTCAACTAAGCCTTCTTGGTATTATGCATTCCCTTCTCTAATTTAATTTCTCTACTTTAATATTCCCATCAAATCTGAGCTGATAGTTAGTATTATTTTTCTTTGCGTTTTAACAGACGAAAATCCCGACTCTAATTCCATATTTAATGTCAGCTACACGTGCGGAATTTTCTGGAATTTCCAATCTCCTTGCCAATATCTTACGCGGTCTAACAAGCTGCAAATGTTAAATACACTATGAACATTGACTTTGAAAAGATGTGAGGTTTTTGAATGGTCAAAGAGTCAACCAAAACACGGCATGCATTTGGGTGATTGCATCATTGCAGTTAAATAAAATCTGTTACGCACTATGGCTTTTGGTGGAGTGGCGGACATAGTTATGACCACAAGCTAGGTTTAATTCTCCGAAAAGATACTTTTTGAACAAAGGCGTGTATTGGAGGGAATTGTTTGGTATGGTCAAGGTCAACAAATTGTCTTTATTAACGATGCCCTAGTAAAAGATTGGAATATCAAAATAGCTATATATTTGATTTAGTTTAGTCATAAGTTTCAAGTTTAACCTTTGGATATGCAACCACGATTCAATTTTTGATAGGAGGAATGACTTTCAAAAAGATGTATTCATAAAATACTGACCAAATTAGTCTAAATCAAAAATTTGAGATACCATATAGTAAAAGCAGAGGTGGAGCCACATGCAAGATTACATGTACGGGAATATAAGTTGTCACTTCTTTTTTTTTTTTTATAGTATAATGAGTGTATTCTGTTGAGAACAAATATTATTTTCTTTGAGATATTGAGAGTAAAGGATAAATCTCTCCTAAAAAGTAACACATACCAAAGTTGGGAATCGAACCACTAGCTACTTGTTCAATAAGTAACAAGAATTTTTATCATTTATGTCAATTTTAGTTGGTAAAAGTTTTTATATTTTGCATCCCCTCCTTTTTTTAATATTTTTTACCTTTTATTTTAATATTTTAAATTTTATACCCGTGTTATGCTACTTTTTAATCCAAATCTAAAAAAATAAATTTTTTAACTCCAATCACAGTAAATTTTTTAACTCACAATTTCACCATACTCAAACACAAAGGTTGCTTAATAAAAAATTATTTCGCCCAATCCAAATTATAAGATAATTTTAAAAAAATTCTATTATCTCAAAATATAAGATAATTTAATAAAAGTAAAGTTTTATTAATTATATTTTTCTAATATTATCCTTCATATTGAGAGATAATTAATGATTAAGTGTGGAGGGGCATTTTTTAAAATTTATATTTTTTTTTTGAAAAAATAAATTTGTAAAGTGTCATTATTATGTTTAATTGATATATGTAATTTTATCTCAAATTATTTTATAATTTGAGATGTAATCTCATATCCCTCCATCACAAATTACAAAACATTTAATAAAATCACATGTACTAATAAAGTTTATTAAATATACTTTACAACTTTATTTTTTTAAAAAATAAAAATATAAACTTTTAAAAAATATCCTTCATTTAATTCTTCATTTATGATGAATATTAAAGATAGAGAATATAATAGAAAGAGTAATATTAAAAAAGAATTATTAATAAAAATTTATTTTTATTAAAATATATTATATTTTGTAATGCTAAATTTTTTTAAAACATGTCTTATAATTTGGGATGGATGTAGTATAATTTATAAAATAATTTTTTTATTTTTTTTTTTCAATTATCAATTGAATTGGACGTCAGCCGACACAACTGCCGTCTATTTGGCGCTAAACAAAAGATGAACTTGAGATGCAAAAGCTTAAGATTTGTTTCTGTTACATGAATGGTCTTTTTAACGTTCAACGAGATTCCCATGGTCTTCAAATTCCAAGCATGCATGTCTCACATGACTTGGCTAGCTGGCTTCCTTCCAGTCAACTCTCTCTTCTCTTGCATGGATCACTTCAATGCGTGATATATTGCCAACACGCTGAATTCACAATTCCCAGAAATCACAGTCATCTTGTTCTTCTACTTCTTCTTCTTGTGCGACTTCATTTTAGTTTGCTGGATTCTGGGATGGCTTCTTTGGTTTCTGTGTTTCCTTCCCCCTTTTTTCTTCACCTGGTACTTGTTTTCTCATCTGGGTTTGATAAAGGAATCCATGAAAACTGTCCTAGCTCGTTTAAGTGTGGAGATCTTGGGACATTCCACTTCCCTTTCACCAAGCCTGAACTTCGTCAGGACTGTGGATTTATCACAGTTCACGGCTGTGACAATCCAAAATCAAACAAAACCATCGAACTGGAGAAGAATAATAATGGAAGAAAGCTGTGGCTTATACATTACGTCCACCAGAACATCATCAGAGTCTTGGACCAAGATCTAGACCGGCTTCTGAAATCCAAAAATTATTGTCGAGTTTTCGACTCAAACACAAGCCTTCCTTCAAACTCAGCTTTGGTTTATTTTCAGATCCTAAATTATGGGACTTTGAAAAAATGCAGTCACTGCCACTATGTGAGTCGTCCCACGGCTTTTGTCAAACATAGGTGTGCTGAATTTGATGTCTATTGGGAAGGCTCATCCAGGCGTAAACCTAGCAGTGATATTCACGCGCCGCCAGGTTCTTTCCCTAATTGCTCAGAACTTCAGCTTCCAAGTAAATACATGTCTGAAACTGATGATGACCATCTTTGGTTCTTAACTGGTCAAATTGATATTCAAGTACGATTGTCTGATGACTGTGATGAACCCCATTAACAAGGGGCTCAAGGGAAAGGCCTTTTTATCCCCTCTTAACACTGTGATAGTTAGAAACCTACCGGCTTGCACTTGCAACAGCAAAAGGTCCGAAGTGTTACAACCACTTGGGAGGCCAGTGTCTCCTTGATGCCAACAAGAAGTTTTACTGCAAATTTGGTACGCTCTAGCTAGCCACATCATTTTTATAAAATTAAGCAGTATACTCACACACACACACACACACACACCATATTTGTTTCCAGTTAAGATTTGTATCCGCTGTTATCTTTGGCAAAATCTCAGCTTGATTCATTGCCATGTTTAATTATTTATACGTTTGGCTTGATGTTAAGCTTTGGGACATATAATAGCCTTCTTTTTGCTGCTGTGGATACATTTTTTTCTGATATAATTCATAGTTGTTGTTTGGCTAATTACTTCAAATGATGACTTGTCTGAACTTAAGATGCAGAGAACACAAGTAAGGACTACAAGCTGGGACTTGGACTTGGGATAGGATGTGATGTGCATTTTTTTTTTATTGTTATAAAATGTATTTTAATGATTTTCTTTGTTTATCATACTTCACCGATATGTCAAATTTTCCTTCCTTCTCAAATTTAGATCAATAAGCAATTCGTGAAGCAGTTTTGAAATTAGAGAGAACAGAGAAAGCAAAACAAGTTCAAGACATTCCCTTAATAGACTTCTATAATTAATTCTGATCAGTGAGCAATTCTTTATAATTAATTATAAAGACGCACTTACAACTCAACAATTCAAATTCCTCAGGTGATGAAGTAACAAAGTTATCTCAATATATTTTTGCTTTTTTTTTTTTTTAATTTACCAATTCCATTACAATGGATTATAATTGAAAAGTGGTCAGGACTGATATGGGATATACTCATCTGCAGGATTATTTGTTGTTCTTATAGTCATTCTGACAATTTGTCAGCAACGCCAAAGATATTACAAAGAAAAAATTGCGTCTCTAAACGTCCACATGCAGTCAAGAAACAACAAAAAAGGAAATCCTTTCTCAGATGCAAACAGAGAAGGTTGCAGCAGAGCCTGCTTGGGGTTGCCCTTATTTTCTTACGAGGAACTTGAGAAAGCCACAAATAATTTTGACAGTTCAAGACAACTTGGAACTGGAGGATTTGGCACTGTTTATAATGGTATATATATTCCTCCACTCCACACTTCATTTTTATTGCCTCTTGTTCATAATTAATTTGTGTTTTAATCTTCAACAACTAGGAATACTCCAAGATGGCCGAGAAGTTGCAGTCAAGCACCTTTACGAGCACAATTATAGACGAGTAGAACAGTTCATAAATGAAGTCAAGATTCTCACTCGCTTACGCCATCGAAACCTTGTGTCTCTCTATGGTTATACTTCGTGTCATAGTCATGAACTTCTTCTTGTATACGAATACATTCCAAATGGCACTGTTTCTTGTCATCTTCATGGTGAGCTAGCCAATCGTGGTTTACTACCTTGGCCTACAAGAATCAAAATAGCCATTGAAACTGCCACTGTGTTGGCTTACCTTCATGGCTCGGGCATTGTTCATCGTGATGTTAAGACCAAAAACATTCTCCTAGAGAATAATATATGCGTTAAGGTTGCAGATTTTGGGCTTTCGAGGTTGTTTCCCAATGATATCACTCATGTTTCACAGCTCTACAAGGAACCCCAGGTTACGTGGATCCAGACAGTGTTATCAGCTTACTAGCAAAAGCGATGTGTATAGTTTTAGAGTTGTACTTATTGAATTGATATCATCTTTGCCAGCGGTTGATATTAGACGGAACAGAGATGAGATAAACTTGGCCAATCTAGCACTGACAAAGATTCAAGAAAGTGCTTTTGGGGACCTGGTTGATCCTTCATTGGGTTTTGAGTCAGATAGTGAGATTAGGAGGATGATAATTTCAGTAGCAGAGTTAGCTTTTCAGTGTTTACAAAGGGACAAGGACTTGAGACCTTCATGAGGTTTTGGGGATTCTTAAGAGAATTGAAAGTGGAAATGAAGAGATTGGTCATTTAGAGGAAGTGGATATTCATGATCATGATGCTATTGAGATTCCACCAAGTGAAGCTGCACATTCCCCATCACCATCTTTACCAGATCGTGATGAGATTAGATTGTTGAAAAATGCAAAATCTCTCCCTTCATCTAAAATTGTGACTCACAACAAGCCAAGTACAACTCATGTGAGTGTCTAATAATAATCACTTATAATTATTTATTGAATAATTATTTACACCCCGCATGATAACAGTGATGAATGTTGATGAGAAGTGAGTATGTATATCTAGAGAAATACTTGTAAATAAAATATATTTCAAATTTATCATGTTTCATTCATTCATTCATTCATTATTGATTGAACTTATTTGATGTCAGCAGTGGATGTATTTTCAGTTTTCAAATAAATCATTTCTCCTGAAATGAGGTAGATTGAACACCTCTTAAGCTCTTAATGAACTGATGAATGATGATGAAATAAGAAAATGACTATACGAGGCCGAAGTGGAACCACAGTAAGCATATTGGGCTGGGTCTTATGAAAACAATTCTTGATTCGGTTTAAATTTTTTTGTTTGAAGGGAAAAAAAATTTCAACTCTTGTCCTTTGTGTAATTGCAAAGATGGGCCAAACTTTTAACCTTTAATTTAATAAGAAAAAGGCCTGGACTATTTTGGATGGGCCAACATGGTTTATTCTTAAACCGGCGTGTCACACACTGGCCTTGTTGGTCCACGAGTGACAATAAATTCTCGGTTGAATCGTGATTGACAGGCTACACGCTGAGATAAAACCCACTGCTTCCAAGAAGTTTCGCTCTCTTTGCCGTTCTATGGAATGTTCAACAAGCCACAAAACTAAAACAAAATCATAGACGTTGAACATTGACTTGGAGAATTAATGCGTGTGAGAAGCTCTTGAAGGGTCTATGACTCAATATATAGGTGCTACTCATCAGTAGAGGAAATTGGAAACTGAGGTGGAAATTGAGACATACTTCTTTGTTGGATCATCAAAGATGTATCCATGTAACATTAAAGACCATGACATATATATATATATATATATATATAGCCCAGACTCTCATGCAATCCCTTTTCATGAAGTCTTGCTCTTTCATTTTCCAGGTCAACTGGCGTATGAAGCGGTTCTATTAGGTGATATATACTAGGAAGAGAGAACAATTCTTCAATGTCATCAAATTTACAGAATCAGGTTCTCCTTCCCAGTCAATTACTTTTTGCTTAGATTTTGGAATGGCTTCACTTTCTATGTTTCTTTTCCTCTTACTTTTTCACTTTATTGTACTTCTTGTCTCATCTGGTTATGGAAATGGGAAGCATGATCAGTGTCCTAAATCTTTTGATTGCGGACAATTTAAGAACCTCCACTTCCCCTTCACCAAGCCTGAACTGCAGCACTGTGGCTTTATCACCATACGAGGTTGTGATGATCCATCTCCAAATAAAACAATCCAACTGGACAAGAATGGAAGATCACTCTTGCTTAAGAAGGTCCTTCAGCAGCATACATATATCATCACAGTTTTTGACGAAGAACTGCACCAACGTTTGAGATCAAGAACTTGTGAAGCTTTCAACACTACCATGAGCATGACTCTTCCTCCAAAGTCTCCTTTGGCTTCTTTTCATGTCAAACACAACGCAACCCTGTTCAGATGCAAGCACGACCAGGACCTCGACCTCAAGATCCCCGATGGTTTCATCAATCGTCACTGTCCTGGCTATGATTTCTACTGTGAAGACTCACAAATGCCTCATCCTACTAATCTGGACCTCAATGACAAGGGTGAAAATCCTTTCTCAAAATGTTCGGTTCTTCAATTTCCTTGTAAACACCTGGTCGATTTCGAAGATCCTTCAAGCTTCTCATGTGATGAGATAGATATTGAAGTGAATGTATCTGATATCTGCGACCAGTGTTACAGCCACAAGGGAGGCCGATGTCTAGTTGACCCCAACAATCACTTTTACTGTGACATAGGTACGCTCCATTGCTATGTTGAAAATTTTATGTCAGCTTGATAATTAGATATATGTAGCTCTCGATCGAGTCTCCGTAAGATTTAACGCCTATATTTTATGGTTTCTCTGTTAGCATTTTAAAAATGGTTTCTTCTCTCAATTTGAACTGCAGACGACGGGAGGTTATTAAAGTTGGGGTTTGGACTTCAGCTTGGAGGTAATAACGCGCATATTTTTTCTTCCCAATTGCATTTTAGCAATCCTGTTTATTATTATAAATTACTGCTATTGTAGCAGGGTTTCGCCTGTGCTTTTTATGAAGGAGGAAAAATAAATTTTCACCTCACAGATTTAAGAAAGTTGATTTATGTTGATTATATGAAATTTTCTGGTGCTAATAGAACTTCGGCATTTTTCCTTCCAAAAGAAATTGAATTACTGAAGACTTGTTTTTTTTTCTAAATCATGATCTCTTCTTCTTTATTGCGTATAAACCACACGGTATTCTGGGCATGCCCCACATAGAGTACGGGACTTAAATTAATCCAGATCAAATCAAGACAAACCCTTGTAATTAAAAACGTTACCATTAAGTTCTTATCATTGAACCAAGCGTGGGCGGTTCATTATCTCTTATGTAACAAACTCATCCCTATTTTTGTATTGCTTGGATAAGATTCCCGGGGGAGGGGGGTATATATAAATATACACACGATGAATTTGTAATATCTTAATTCACTGCAGCGTGCAATTAAAATTCCCTGTACACTCTGTTACAAGATGATCTTCAACTTATTTTTCAATCTTATCTTATTTTGCCCTCTTCTTCCATTAATAGATTAGAATGATAATTTAAAAGTGGTTATATCTAATGTTGGATCTCCTTTTGTGCAGGTTTAGTTATTGGACTTGTAGCCATTCTAATAATAATTTGGTGGCTACAAAAACATTACAAACAAAGATATGCATCTTCAAATAATAATAATGTCCAGCGGCAATCACAAAACCTAATGCAATTGTTGGTAATAACTCTAATGCTGATCTGGAAAGCGGTTTGGATCATTACTTTGCAATCCCCCTCTTCTCTTATGAGGAGCTTGAGAAAGCAACAAATAAGTTTGATCGTTCAAGAGAACTTGGAAATGGAGGCTTTGGCACTGTTTACTATGGTAATGCCCTCACACTACCCTTTCCTACATGATTCATATATTTTTGAGTGAATGATGATCAAGTTATAAATAAATAAGAGAAAATATATTAGTACAATCCATCTACATACTTTGATTCCGTTTTGTTTTTAGTTCACATAATTTTATTTTCATGTTCTCAATCCCTTTAGTTTCATCAATTTGTAATGTTCATTCCTATAGTTTAAAAAATATACATAAGGACAATGACGTTGGAACTTACAGTGTTAATTTTTTGTTATAACTCTACTAGTTCATTTATTGACATGGTAAAAATGTGCTAGTATGAAAATAAATTGATTAGATGTATATTTGGTTAAAACAAAATGTGAAAGATGAAGACAAAATGTACAACTTAGCAAAGAAATTAATAGAGTTAAGTACATTCTAGTAAAATTAATTCCATTAGTGTCATCTAATGATTCTTGTCGGTATTTTTAAAATTATAGAAACTAAAAATACAAGGCAATCAAAGAACAAGGACCTATTATTATATTTTCCAATAAATAACTTCTAACTTAACATGTTGATGTTCAATAACTAGGAAAACTGGACGATGGACGAGAAGTTGCAGTGAAGCGACTAAATGATCATAACTATCAACGAAAAAAGCAATTTATGAATGAACTCAATATCATCACTCGTCTACGCCATCGATACCTCGTGTCACTCTACGGATGCACTTCTTGTCATTCTTGTGACCTTCTCTTAGTGTATGAGTACATTCCAAATGGCACTCTTTCATGTCATCTTCACGACAATCGCAATGAGCTATCTACTCATGGCTTTCTACCATGGTCTGTAAGAATCAAAATAGCCATAGAAACTGCTGCAGCATTGGCTTACCTTCATGCTTCTGACACAATTCACCGCGATGTCAAGACCAACAACATTCTCCTAGACAATAATTTTTCTGTCAAGGTTGCAGATTTTGGGCTTTCAAGGTTGTTTCCCAATGATGTCACCCATGTTTCCACTGGCCCTCAAGGGACACCTGGCTATGTTGACCCAGAATACTACCAATGTTATCAGCTAACTGATAAAAGTGATGTGTATAGCTTTGGGGTTGTGCTTATTGAATTGATATCATCTTTGCCTGCAGTTGATATCCAAAGGAATAAAGATGAGGTAACCTTGGCAAATCTAGCTATGAAGAAGATTCAGAAAAGTGCATTTGGTGAGCTGGTTGATCATTCTCTTGGTTTTGAGTCGAATAATAAGATTAGGAAGATGATAATTTCAGTGGCAGAGTTGGCTTTTCAATGTTTACAAGGAGACAAGGAATTGAGGCCTTCCATGGATAAGGTTTTGGAGATATTAAGGAAAATTGAGAGTGGAAAAGTGGAACAAAGTCATGTAGAAGAAGTGGATATTCATGGGGTTTATGTGATTTCACATAGTGGTCCAATACATCCGCCATCACCACCTTCACCAGATTGCAATGAAGCTATATTGATGAAAACTACAAAATCACAATGAAAGCCAGGATTCCATTAAACTATGGTCAGGTTAATGATTAAATATGTATAAAATTAAAGTTATAAAAAGTTAAAGTGATAGTTATAAATTACTAATGAAATAGTTATAAATTACTTGATTGATGTAATGTATTTTTAATAATAGTATTATTGTCTTTGCATTCAAATTTCAAATTACATTTAAATCTCAAAGAATCTGGCTATGATTTTTTATTTTTGCAGGGCTTATTTTAAATAAGTTTGCTTCACAAGACTTATATGTAATTTTTCCTTTTTCCTTTTCCTTTTATTATGTTAGGGTATTTTGGTCTTTTGATATCTTTCATTCATCAATTTAATTTAATACGCAAAAGGAACAGACTTTATGTTACGGTTTCGTTTATTTATTTATTTACCAAATTCATTTTTAAGCTGTAGGTGGCAATTTTTTAAAACGGTTAAAATTGACATTTTATTTTAGTCATAAAAGCAGTGTGAAAATAGGAGTTAGGAAGTAGGTAAAATGTTGAACTTTCTGTATCAATTCTACAATCGTTGTAAAAACTATTTTTTACATCGTCAAAATTATACAGTGCATATTATAAAAAACACAAAACAAAACTATGCAGTGCAGAAGGCGCATGAAAAATCTCAATTAAAACATCATAAGCTTAAACTCTTCCCAAGCCCCCCCGGGGGCCGAATTACAATGGGGCAAGCAAAGCTTGAGATGCCAAGCAGGAGACATTGTTCAAAAAGAGACACTTGAGATGCCAAGTAGGAGATACTGTTCAAACAGAGACAATCTCTTTTCCTATGGATATTGGGCTGCATGTTCAAGGAGAACAGATTCACATCAAATAAGAGTAGTGATAGAGTTGTGAGCATTTTTAGCAATCAGATCCGCACAAGTGATCGCTTCTCTCTACATATATATATATATATATATATATTGGATTACATAGGCACACATTTGATGCAAACCTCATGCGCATTCCTAGCCAAGAAATCTGAACATTTGATGCTTGCTCTGTAAACATTATGGAGATTGAATTCAGGACTATCAGCAATGTGTGTCCTCATTTCTTGAATGACTTCTCACGAAGGATGATCTTGATTTCCATCTCTGAATATGAGATTCATTGCTTCTGATGAGTAACTAAAGTTCAATTTTGGATGTGCTGAAACAAGACTCCTTGAAGTTTTATGAGTGTCGGTAAAAGGGGGGAAAAGTACTAGCATTTTAATTTTATTTTGTATACATAAAGAAAGCTAGACATGAAGTACTGATACTTTTTTTTCATTTCACAGAACTTAGAAATCTCACTTCAGTGATCCGTATTGGATCACAAGCCCTGTGCTGAGATCAAACCTGCAGTTTCCAATAATTTGCACTCTCTTCACCGTCCTTGGGAAGGTTTTACAAGCCACAACACTAATTTTTTAAAGAGTAAAGTACCGTCACCGCCATTCTACTTTGCTTTAATTATACAGACATTTCCTATATTTTGAAAACATACAATTTAATCCAATTTGTTAACTCTGTTAGATATATTCTAAAAAGATTCTAAAAGCTTGTTGTTAAATTAAAATTTATATTACAATAAATTTTATTTACTAATTTATCCCTCACCCTAATAAATCCTAAATTATATTTTGATAGTTACATAATTTCATTGTAAAAAACATGTTTACAAATTTTAAATTTTAAATTTAAATTATTTATATAATCTCTTGAACTTACATCATTTTATATTATATGACAAATAAAAATATGTTTTTACCAATTTTTAAAAACATAAATAAGTAAGTCTCAATAAATTTGATAAAAATTAAAATAATAAAATTTCATAATATCATAAAAATTAATAAATTTTCTAATATAGTAAAAATTTGAAAATGCATTTATTATTTTTTTAGTTGTATACAAAAAATATTTTTTGCCAAATATAGATTTTTAGAAAAATCTTATGTTAAAGAGGCGCATTTTGGTCAAATTAAAAGTTTAAAAATTAAACTTAACGATCAACTAATGGTTAGATGGATGGAAATGAAATCTCAAATATATAAGGTTTCTGTAACATTTATTTTGATTTTAAGGGATGTTTATATGCGTTTTCAAAATAAAAAGGTGATCTGTGTGATTAAGTTAAAATATAAAGGTAGTCAAAGTATAATGTTGCTCTTTTTTAAAAAGTATAGACCTTGAATGTTGACTTGGAAATTGTGCGAGTGACGTTTTTGAAGGGGTCAGGAGTCAATTACAAGTAGAAACCTTGTTCCCTGGAATAAAAGATCAACGTAACATTGAACAAGCTCGTCATATAGAGCCCAGACGCATACGTCTCACACATGGCTGTCACAAGTCACAAGTCCTCCTATTTCCCATCATTTTCCCGGTCAACTGGCGTATGAATCAGTTCAAGTAGGTGATATATTGGGAAGAAAGTTCAATCATCATTTAGATACTAAGGTTCTCATTCCAGATTTTCAGTGTCTTAGTTTTATTTTTGGGATATGGCTTCACTTTGTGTGTTCTATTTCCTCGTGTTTTTTCACTTTGTATCTCTTCTCTCAGTTGGGCATGAAAATGAGAACTGTGATGAGTGTCCTAAGTCGTTTAAGTGTGGACAACTTGGGAACATGTCCTTCCCTTTCACCAAGCCAGAACTGCAAGGTAGTGGCCTAATCTCCATTCATGGTTGTGATGATCCATCTTCAAATACATCAATTGATCTGGAGAAAAATGGAAGATATATCTGGCTTAAACAGGTCCTTCAGCAGCATAATCATTACAACATCACACTTTGTGATGAAGATCTGCACAAGCGTTTGAGATCTAGAAATTGTGAAGCCTTCAACAGAAATAAGATTCCTCCTCCAAGCTTTCAAAATGATCCTTTGGCTTCTTTTCACATCATTCCAAATAAAGCAACCTCATCCGAATGCAAAAACGACCCTCCTAACAGATTTCTTGATGGTCTAGTCAATCCTATTGTCTGTGGTGACTATACTATCTATTGTAAGGACACACACGGGTCATCTCCTACTCCTGAGCAGACACAAAACCCTTCCCCACCATGCTCGATTCTTCAACCTCCTTGTGAAAACCTGCCACATCCCAAAAATTCTTCATCATTATTTTGTGGTGAAATAGTTATCGATGTGCATTTATCTGATGATTGTGACAAGTGTTATTGTTACAAAGGTACGTTCCGACAACATGATCTCTTCTATATATATGCTTCCATGTGATAAATTCCTTATATTTTTTCATTACATTCATGCGATCTGGTACTGATCTTCGGTACAATATTCTCAGCATAAGTCGTATTCAAGTGATTTCTCCTGCTAACATTGGCAAAGTCTCGGTTTCATTGCTTGATAATTAGAGATGTGGGAATTATGAAATTCTTCTCGTATCTTGACAAGTTTTTTGCTGATACTTTATAGTTTATAATTGACCTACTTTTTTTTCCAAATTATTATTCTCTCAACTTGAGTTGCAGAGGATAGTAAGTTATTCAAGTTGTGGGTTGGACTTGGACTTGGACTTGGAGGTAATGTGCATAATTTTTTTCCCCAAACTTTTTGGCGATCCTGATTGTCATAAATTACTGCAATGTTATATTCAAAATGTCTCCTTTTTCAAATGTTATAATTTAACCTTCTCATCGTTTTCATATTGGAGTAGAGAATCTCACCTGGGTTTCTAGGAAGGAAAAAAAATTCACCTCATATCTATGAGAAAATTAATTTGTTGTGAAATATGTGCTCATATCTATAAATGATGATGGAACGACTATACTCTATTCTTTGAGAAGCCAAATTGGCAATACAACACAATGAAACTTGTATAAGGATACATATAAAGATGATGAACCTAGGTATCAGAAACACAATAAACCAAGATGATAATTAGTCCTTCAAGACAACCCTTCCTTGAAGAGTGGTACAACTAATCCCAAGATATACATTTCAAAGACTCATACTTGAGGTGAGATTAAACCTCCTTAGACTCAATGTATATTAGGAGTGGAAGTAAGTCAAGCTCTCATTAAAAGCTTACAACCTAGCTTATTTATAAAATAAGCCAGATCAAGTTCAAGTCTTTAATAGTTACATAGGCTAGGCCAAGCCTACGAGTATAATAGATAAGCCTATTTACATATATATTATCATTGTGTAATATATTTCTTATATATATAATATGTGTAATATTATATATATATATATAATATTTAATTAAGGAATTATAAAATAATCAATTTCACTCCCTTTCTTCTCATTCTTCCTCTGAATCAAAACTTGAAAACACTAAATAAGTTATTCCTTTCCTATGTTTTTTTTTATTGGCTTTTGTATGGTAAATTGATGATATATCAATTTCACCACTTGATTTTAATAGATATATTCTTTTTTTGTTTCTAGTTTCTTGGTTAAGTTTTCAATCAGATTATAATTATATATTGATTTTAATGCTATTACTTTATTGTTATATTGTAATGTTGTTGGTAAATACTCTTAATTATTATATATTGTAGTTGCTAAATCAAATTGTGTATATGTAGACTTTAATAGTCTTAAAATGTGCTTGAAACCTTCAAAAAAGCTAATATGTAAACCCATTTAAAAGATTTACTTTTAAGTATATTTTTTATGCTTCTAGGCCAAACCAAGCCTGAGTCTTGAAAAAAAACCTTATAAAGATTACAGGCTAAACTCAGGCCACACAAGTTTAGACTTATTTGACCAAAACTTAGTTTGGCTAGCCTATTTCCACTCCTAGACTAATGTCTCTTAATATAGGTAAACTGTGGTTACTTGGTAGTATGAAAATACAGCCCATTTAAAAGATTTACTTTTAAGTATATTTTTTATGCTTCTAGGCCAAACCAAGCCTGATCTTGAAAAAAAGCCTCATAAAGATTACAGGCTAGACTCAGGCCACACAAGTTTAGACTTATTTGACCAAAACTTAGTTTGGCTAGTCTATTTCCACTCCTAGACTAATATCCCTTAATATAAGTAGACTGTGGCTAATTGGTAATGTGAAAATACAGCTAACTCAACTCAACTAATAGTGATCTTAACCAACTAGCGCAAGATCAATCCTAACATCTCCAAGATCAGGTACTACTGAAACTTTGGCATTTTTCATTCCGAAAGAAATTGGACCAAAATTTCTCATATAGAAAATAATTGTTTTTTTTAATTAGTATTGCAATATCTCTTGAGTTAAGGATGAAATGAACTCATCCCCTTTTTTATACTACAAGGAGAAGATTGATGAAGGATTAATAAATATTTAAGACTCTCAGAACATGCTGCGTCTCAGAATTATGCGCTAAAGTTCAAGACTATCCCCATCTTATTTTTCAACCATCTCTGTTTTTCTTCCTCTGCCATTACTATAGACTACAATTTAAAAGTATTCATGTATATCTAAAGTGCAGCCTCTTCTTCTACAGGTTTATTTATTTTAATCATAATTTGGCATCTATGTAAGCAACATTACAAACACAAATGTGCATCATCAAATGTCCAATTGCAATCAGCAAATAATAACGCAATTGCTTGTAACTCTCATACTGATCTGGAGAGTGGTAGGGCTTATAACTATGGGATATCCCTCTTCTCTTATGAGGAGCTTGAAAAGGCAACAAATAATTTTGATCGTTCAAGAGAACTTGGAAATGGAGGCTTTGGCACTGTTTACTATGGTAAAGCCCTCGCTCATTACCCTTCTTTAATGAAACATAGATTGTTAACATGTTTCGTTGTTGTTGATCTTTGGAGTTGAGGAAAAGGAAAGAGAAATCTAAGACTTTCGTGGAGTCTTCTTCATGGGTTGCTTAGAGAAAAAAAAAAGCACCTTTATAAATGTATGGAATTCACAGAGTTAAATGTTCAGTATCACCAATTGTTGTTTTCTCATTCGTTTTAAATGTCCCAGTTTGCTTCTCTTCATAACTCATATATTTAATAAGTGATTGATATCAAGTAAACCAGTATTCATGTTTAACTTTGATTATCAACAACCAGGAAAGCTCCAAGATGGTCGAGAAGTTGCAGTCAAACGTCTATACGACCATAACTATAAACGAAAAGAACAGTTTATGAATGAAGTCAATATCCTCACTCGCTTGCGCCATCCAAATCTTGTGTCACTCTATGGCTACACTTCCCGTCGCTGTCGTGAACTTCTCCTCGTGTATGAGTGCATTCCAAATGGCACCCTTTCGTGTCACCTTCACGGCGACCTAGCCAATCATGATTTACTACCATGGCCTATAAGAATCAGAATAGCCATTGAAACTGCAAGTGCATTGGCTTATCTTCATGCTTCTGACACCATTCACCGAGATGTCAAGACCAATAACATCCTGCTAGAGAATAATTTTAGTGTCAAAGTTGTAGATTTTGGGCTTTCAAGATTGTTTCCTGATGATGTCACCCATGTTTCCACAGCTCCACAAGGGACCCCTGGTTATGTTGACCCAGACTATTATTTATGCTACCAGCTTACAAGCAAAAGTGATGTGTACAGTTTTGGAGTTGTGCTTATTGAGCTAATATCATCATTGCCAGCAATCGATATGAACAGGTCTAGAGATGAGATTAATCTAGCAAATCTAGCTATAAATAAGATTCAGAAAAGTGCATTTGGGGAGCTAGTAGATCCTTCTCTTGGTTTTGAGTCAAATAATGAGGTGAGGAGGATGATAGTTTCAGTGGCAGAGTTGGCTTTTCAATGTCTACAAAAGGAAAGGGATTTGAGACCTTCCATGGATGAGGTCTTGGAGATTCTAAAGAGAATTGAAAGTGGACATGAGCAGCTTAATCATATAGAAGAAGTGGATATTCATGGGGTCAATGGGATTTCATTTAGTGGTCCAATACTTCCGCCATCATCTCCTTCACCAGATTATGAGGAAGCTATACTGTTGAAAACTACAAAGTCACTACCTTCACCAAAAGTCATCACTGATAAATGGCATAGTGAGCCAACTACTTCTAATGTCAGTGCTTAGTTAATGGCTTGTCTTTATTTGTTAATGATCATATACAACAAATCATAGTTGTGTGGGAGGCTTGCAGGTTTAAATATGAAAGAAATAAATTTGAAGTAGATTTTGTCTGTAAAATTAATGTGTGTTTTGTGTATTAAAAGAGCTTCAAAAATGAGCTGTATCATTTATACTTTATACCTTATGAATGACCGCTAAAATGCTCATATAAACATGTATGCCATATATTTTAATGAAGCATAAATATTTAAATTAAACATGACTCTGCAAGGATTCTAGATTACTGTCCTATATTTGACTGCTACACTTTTTTCCATAAATTCTAGGTTAGTGACCTCCTATATTTTGCATATGTAAGGCCAGGTATAAGATGAACGTGTCTGTTCATTTAATGAGAAACAACTAAGAAAATATAGGCATTCAGACCACTTGAACTAATTGTTTTTATCCTAGAGTCTCACATAAGTACTGTAAATGCCTAAGTCCCATGAAATGGTTGAGTCCAAAGTCTCTCAATATAAATAATTTTTTAATGTCAAATTACTATATTGCCCATCAGTCCTAAATCCATGTCGTTTTCTCTTCTCTTTTGATTAGGAATGTTCACGGGACGGGACGGGATCGAGACACTCCCGTCCCGTGTCCCGTCCCGAAAAAAAGATCGAGACTGAATTTTGGTCCCGTGTCCCGTCTCGTCTCGAAAGTCGTCCCGTCCCGTTAAGAGTCGAGACGGGACCAGGATAAGATCGAGACGTCCCGCCGTCCCGATAAATGAAATAATATCGAAAAAAGATCTGAATAATAATGTTCATTAAAATTTTAAATTATATAATTTATTAAGTTTAAAATCAAAATAACACAAGTACATAAATAACAATAATTTAAAATTAATTATTGAATTATATTAATCACAACTACATATTATAATAAAAAATACAAGTGATCTTTATACTATAAGATTAGCAACAACAGGCAAGTCAAACACAACATCAAATAATTATTCTTCTACTTTAGTGAAGATGTACTAAGCTAATTACTCTTCTAAAAATAAACAAAAAATATGTTATAAATAAAAGTTATTAAATAGATAGATATAAGAATAAATTATATTAATATAATTAATATATTATAAAAAAGATATCGTCATGTTTACTCCATACCATTAAAATTATCAATATAAAAACACTTTAGTTTTAAATAAGAATTGTAAGTATTAAAATTATAATTGATATAATTAATATAAGTATAAATTATATTAATATAATTAATATATATAAAATAAAAATAATATATATAATATTCGGGATGGGATGGGACATCCCGATGATAATTCCGTGTCTCGTCCTGTCCTGAACCCCTTTCCTGTCCCGTCCCATAAAGTCCCGTCCTGATTATTTTCGGGTCGGGACAAGACCCGTCCCGATATGATCGGGACGATACCGGGCCAATCGGGACGGGTCCAAATTGAACACCCCTACTTTTGATAGTCTGGACTGTAAACCCTGAATCTTTCTCCTCTCTCGCCAAGGACCGCCGAGAACTTATGATTGTTCGCATTGTTTATCTCTAAACCAGAGATTCAACGCTCTCCTTTCTCCTTCCTTTACACTCCACTGCACAACACGATCCGCTCTTTCTTCCTTCTCATTCACCATCCCTTGCCTCCCTTCGCCAATCTCATAAAGCTCTCTCCAGGAGAATGTAAGAAATGCCAATCTTTTTTCTCATACATTCCTTCTTGAGTTGTTTGGTTTCCTCGAATCCGAATGGGGGTAAACGAAGTTTTGTCTTCATTTTTCCAGGGTTTGATCCTCTCTAGTTCTTTTTATTTGGAATTTGTGCGATTAAATGAATTGTTATAGCCATTCTTGTTCTTTTCTTCCTCCTGAAATTTGGGTTCAAGCCAATGGAATGAAGTGTGATTTTCTCTAAGAAATGGAATTGAATAAAAAGCAGGGCACGTGATTTTTACTAAGAAATAAATGTAATTTTTATTCAAGCAGGTATGTGATTTTCACATGCCACACCGAGAATTATTTGAATGTCGACTCCCCTCTCGCGAGAGATGAGAAAGATGCAAAGTTCAAGGTCCAGACTAATCAAAAGAGATGAGGATATGTTAGGATTCAGGTTGGGTGATATGGTAATTGAACTTTCAAAAAATATTTATGTTGGTGACCCTTGGACTTACAAATAGAGCTAGAAACACAAATTGAGTCTACGAACTAATCCGTTTAACCTGCATAATTTGACTAATTGAATTGAAAAAATTAGCCCGTTTTTTAAAACAAACTGAGTTAGCCCAACCTGCAAAATTAATGAGCTATATAGTATATTTTATTTTTTAATTATATTATATTTTTTTATAAATCTATAATAATGATAATATTTTTTAAATATATAATTTATGACTCTCAAATATATTCTTTACATTTAAAATATAGTATAAATTCTTTTTACAATTTACAAATAAAATTTTTGTTATAGTTTATGAAGATGATTTATTAATTTTTATAAAAATATTTTAAATATATATTATTTATTAATCTCATAAGATCTATTAATTAAAATTATAAATATGAATTCACTGAAAAAAATATAGATTTATATTTAAATTTTTTCTCAGTGACAAAGATAGCACACCTAAGTAAAAAGATGATTGATATTTGATAGTAAAAATCTAGCAAAATGAATTTGCTTAATTGAATTCTATGTTTATTTTATTTATTTTTAAATTTTTTAATTGCTAATTTACTTTAAAATATTAAATAAATATATATTTATATTATATAAATTTTAAATTATTAAAAAAATTCTGATAATTTTTTGTGGGCTAACCCACAGGTTGGCTAGCCCGCTAGAAAATGAATTGGGTTGAATTTTTCAACTCATTTTATTTGGCGGGTTAACCTAACCCAACTTGCAAAAATGCCAACCTGCAAGGGCTGGCTCGTAATCCATTTGTTCAGTATTACTTACAGAGCATTTTGCCTATTTCATGGGATTTGAAGGTATTTACAATGGGATTCTAGAGTAATTCTTCCTAACCATGCTTATCACTCTACTTTTATCGGCACTACAAGTCTGCAACACAGATTCTTAGAATGAAAATAAGATCTAACGATCAAAATCAAAATTATTAGTAAACTTTTGTATCAAAAAATTATTATTAAACTTTAATAGACTTATTATCACATCTTAACATATTATTTGAGACGTTCATATATTTGTTTAAATTTATATGAACATAACCTAGTGAGTTTTCGTTTAAAAAAAAACACCCATTTTAATTTTTTGATCGTATAAATAATTTTGGACCCAAAGATTTAAAAGTGGACGAAGGTGAAGTTTGAATTTAAGATGAAAAAAATGTTGAAAATTAATTAAACCATCGTGCTAGAACAATGATCATTGATCAAGGACCAGACATGTGTAAGTGACAAGGCGACCCCACACCTCGCAACGTTTCTCTCATTCACATTGGAATTTCGTATCAAACGGTTCAAGACGAGAAGACAAATGGGGAAAGGCGTGCTAATATAATAATTAAATACAAACTTGCATTACAGAATCTGTTTCTGGGCGCTCATAAGGTTGGAGATTTTGAGATGATTGTGTTTCCAAATCCATCATTATTCTTGCTTTTAATAAATGGAAATGGAAATAGAAATAAAAAACACGATGAATTAGGGCTTGTTTGGTTTCCGTTCTGATTTTTTATTTTTAAAAATTATTTTATAATATAGTTTTCAAAATTGTTTTCAAAACAAAACAAAATAAAAATTCATTTAATTATGTCAATTAAAAAAGAGTTTTAAAATTTAAAAAATGTGCTAATAGTGATAGTTGTAGACTTTTAATGATAATGCTTAATAATAAAAATTGATTAAAATAACTATAATTTTTAATAATCAAATGTATTGCATTTTAAAAATAAGAAAAATAAAACAAAAATAACTTAAAATTGTTTCTATTTTCTTGTTTTTAAAAATAAAAAATGAAAACAGTTTTGAAAATAACTAAATAAAACTTATCCAAATAAATTTTTAAATTTTTCTGTTTTAGAAAAAACAGTTTTTAAAAACAGAAAACAAACAAACCCATAATTTCTGTTTCGTAATTCGGACAAGGTTGAGCAAGACCTGGTTCTATGCAGTTTATGGTCAAGTCCCAAGCTCTTTCGCTATGAACCCAGAAAGTTTTCATGTTCTTCACGAAAATGCCGTGATTAACAGTAACTCAACTAAATCAATCCAATGCTAGCACAAAGCACATATTAAATAGCTTATCTTATATAATCTTACAAAAAAAAAAAAACATCAACAACAACAACAAATTGTGCAGCATGTCAACTACAAGATGACAATAATTTAAATACTGAGTGTGTCACGTCATTTATAACCTATCTAATAAAAATATGACATTTAAATAACATTTAATATAAATTAATTTTAATATTAATGATAGTAGAGAGAAAAAATGTAAGAAATTAACTGTACATTTCATTATAAAAAAGATTAATTAAAACAATGCCACATAAGATTTTATTTAGATGAATTAGGCCATTTTAATTAGACAAATCACAAATGACATAGTCCACCCGATTTACCTAAGAATTTATTTTAGAATCAATATAAATATCAATGTATCAATAAATATTATCAATCAATCATCATCAATAGGACATATAAAATATACATAACAATTTATTTACCATTCATGCTATTTTTTGCACCCATTTAGTATACAGTAATACCAATTCAAATTCAATTAATGTTAAGCCTAAATAAAAATTGATCCCCACTCTTCATAAATTTTAAGTTACTGATTGCTATATTTTAAAATTTTATTTGTTCAGATTATATTATATATATGGACATATTTCTGTCTTATCCCTCTCAACTCATCCTTTTCGTTTCTATTGCATAAATCTTGGGGAAAACATTTTAAATTTGGACCTGTTTAGCATAGGCCAGACCAACGATTCTTAAACAAGGTCACACCTGGTCCATGTTATCCATATATATTTTAAAAAAAAAATCCCTAAGATTAAATTAAACCCAAAGTGCTAATAAATGTTGATTCAATTGGTAAACATTAAACTTATAACTCACAAAGTATTAAATTCAAATCTCCCTGTCAATATATTGAGCACATTATTAGTAGGTGATCCATGAGAATTTTTGTAACCACTTCTTAAACTTGAAGACATATGCCGATAAATTCTTGTACCCAACTCATCTAAACTATATTGCATACCAAAAAATAAAATAAAATAAAAATAAAACCCAAGGCTTCTAAGAATTTTCACTCTCTTTGCCGTTTTTTGAACGGTTTAACTATAAGTTTAGAGACCTTGAACAAAGACTTGGAAAATGCGTGTAACTCACGGTGTGAGACGTTTTTGAAGGGTCAAGGACTCAAAAACGTAGAGTCTTTCTGGGGCAACTCAGTAGGGGAAAATAAGATGCAAAACTGTTCATCGCTGGACCAAAAAGATCTAAATCAGTTCAGACCAAGTGGATTCTACCTTCCCTTTTGTTCTCACTCATGCAATGATTTCATGAAGTCTTCCACAGTCATTTTCCAAGTCATGGCGTACAACGCAGTTCAAGCAAGTGATATATATTGGGAAGAAAGTTCAACTACAGAGAATCAGCTTCTCGTACCTGTCTATAGTTTCTCCCTTGGGAATGGCTTCAGTTTCTGTGTTTCCTTTCCCCTTGTTTCTCTTTCACTTTGTACTTCTTTTCCTGGCTGGTTATGGAAATGGGAACCATGAGAAGTGTCCTACATCTTTTGATTGCGGACAATTTGGGAGCCTCCACTTCCCTTTCACTAAGCCAGAACTGCAACACTGTGGCTTTATGACCATATATGGTTGTGAATCTCCAGTTAAAACGATTCAACTGGAAAAGAATGGAAAACCATTACTGCTTACAAATGTCGTTCAGCAGGAGAATATCATCACAGTTTTTGACCTAGATCTGCGCGAGCATTTGAAGCATAGAACCTGTGAAGTTTTCAACAGTAACGTGACTCTTCCTCTAAATTCTCCTTTGGCTTCCTTTCATATCAAACACAACGTGACTCTGTTCATATGCAACCACGACCTCCACATCAGCACCCCCAATGGTTTCATCAATCATGTCTGTCCTGACTACGATATCTTTAGTCACGACTTACACGGGCTTCCTCCTCCTATTATTGACCAGGCATTTGGATCTTTTACTACTTGCTCGATTCTTCAGCTTCCTTGTAAGAACCTGACATATACCACAGATTTTTCATCATTCTTTTGTGGTGAAATAGATATTGAAGTGCAATTATCTGATGATTGTGACAAGTGCTACAACCACAAAGGCGGCCAATGTCTAGTTGACAATCACAATAACTTTTACTGTGACACAGGTACACTCCACAGTAGCATTCATTTTATATATGCTTTCCATATCATGAATTCTTCATATACATTTCATAGCAAGCTCTATATATGTATGTATTTTCCATCCATTAGATTTCACTTCTTGCTTCTAAATTCAAGTGACTTCCCCCTCTTATCCTTACCATAATCTAGGATCTATGGTTATGCTATAGATTTTGTGTCCTAGGCTTTTTTTACCAAGAATTTTATACCTTAGCTAGATGATTAGAATTTCGGTCATTTTAGTATCTTCTCTTCAGTCATTCAGACTTTAAAATTTTGATCCTGATGTAATGATTTCTTCTCTCAACTTGAGCAGCAGAGACTGGGAGTATGCTATTCAACTTGGAGCTTGGACTTGGGCTTGGAGGTAAGGTTCATTATCCTTTTCTTCAAAGCCTTTTAAAGATCCTGTTTATCAGAAATTACTTGCTGCCATGTTAAATTCAAAATTTCTTTTTTCTCTAGTGTTGTTATCTCACATGCTCATCATTACAATATGTAGCAGAGAATCTCTTCTGGGTTACTATGAAGAGGGAAAAAAAATTCACCTCACATCTTTGAGAAAGTTAATTTGGGATAAAAATGTGCGGACTTTTTCTGTACTAATGAATTTCTGGCAGTTTGCCTTCCCAAACGAAATTGAATTAACTTTTATTGAACAGAAGAATGAGAATTGAAAATAAAATATTTCAATATCCCTTTCAGTTAAAGATTACTTCATACCTATTTTTATGCTTATAAGAAAAGATACACGAAGAATTAATGACTTGACACCTTTCAAGTGCATGGGGTCAAAATTTGTATCTTCACTCCAGTGCTCTTGGAACATTCACATTTTCAACTCCGACTATTAAAATTCCTCATGATATGCTGAATTCTTCAACTTAACTTTCAGTCATTTGTGTGTGCGTGTGTGTGTGAGTGTTTTCTTCTTTCCCCCTCTTCCATTTTATCGCTAATAATTTGAAAGTGACCATATCTAAAGTGGGATCTCCTCCTTTGCAGGTTTATTTATTGGATTTACAGGCTTTCTAATCATAATTTGGTGGCTCCTTAAACAGCATTACAAGCAAAAATATGCATTTTCAAGCATCCAATTGCAATCAATAAACAGTGATGCAATTGATCCCAGTTCTGATACTGATTTAGAAAGTGGCAGGTATTTTGGGATCCGCCTATTCTCTTACGAGGAGCTTGAAAAAGCAACAAATAATTTTGACCGTTCCAGAGAACTTGGGAATGGAGGCTTTAGCTCTATTTACTATGGTAATGCCTTCACACCCTGCCCTCTCTTTAATGAACATAGATTATTAACTTGTGATGTAACTGACAATGAGAGTTCTTTGGAGTCATGTGCTTGGCGAGGACAGAGGGGAACCTAGTGAGAGGATTAAAGAAGAAAAAAGAGAGACCAAAACCATCTATGGTAATGGAATCTTCTCCATGGAACCTGTTAAACTAAGGACTTCTACAAAATAATAATAATAATCTTTTTAGAGTGCTTTATGGAGAAAGTACAAAAATACATGTCCTATACAGTTTCTTTTTTGTAACAGTATGGAATGTATAAATATGAAGCTTAACTACAATTCTCATCCTTCTGTTTTTATAAAAATAATCACGTTATTTTACTTCAAAATCATGCACGGTTGCTTTCTTTATCCTTTAGATGGTCCAATTACTGTTTCATATTCTTCTTTGTTCGATGAGTCATGAGTTCAACATACCAAGTAAATAAAATAATGTCTAACTCATGCTTTGATCTTCAATAACCAGGAAAACTCCAAGACGGACGAGAAGTTGCAGTGAAACGTCTATATAACCATAACTATCGACGACTTGAACAGTTTCTAAATGAAGTTGTGATCTTCACTCGCTTGCGCCATGAAAACCTTGTGTCTCTTCATGGCTGCACCTCCCACCACAGTCGTGAACTTCTCCTTGTGTATGAATATGTTCCAAATAGCACTGTTTCATGTCATCTTCATGGTAAGCTAGCCAACCGTCATTTACTACCATGGCCTATAAGAATGAAGATAGCCATAGAAACTGCAGCTGCATTGGCTTATCTTCATGCTTCTGAAATCATCCACTGTGATGTCAAAACTGACAATATTCTCCTAGGCAACAGTTTTTCTATCAAGGTTGCAGGTTTTGGACTTTCACAATTGTCCCTCATCCATGACACTTGTGTTTCCACTACCCCACAAGGGACCCCTGGTTATACTGACCCAGAATCTAACCAAGGCACTCAACTTACTAGCAAAAGTGATGTCTATAGCTTTGGAGTTGTACTCATTGAGTTGATATCATCTCTGCCAGCAATTGAGATGAGCAGGCATAAAGAGGAGATAATTCTGGCAAATCTAGCTATAAAGAAAATTCAGAAAAGCACACTATGGGAGCTAGTTGATCCTTCTCTTGGTTTTGAGTCAGATAATGAGGTTAGGAGGATGATAGTTTTAGTGGCAGAGCTGGCTTTTCAGTGTTTACAGAGAGACAAGGAATTGAGACCTTCCATAGACGAGGCTTTGGAGATACTAAGAAGAATTGAGAGTGGGAAATAGGAACTCAATCATCTAGAGGAAGCAAATAATCATGGGGAAACAGGGATTTTGCCTGGCATACTATACATTCACCATCACCTCCTTCACCAGACAACGATGAGGCTATATTGTTGGGAAAAAAAAAAATAGTCACTGCCTTCAACAAAAGACGTACTGAAAAGTGGCATAATGGGGTTAATTACTTCTAATGTCGGTGATAAGTTAATGGCTTATTTTATTTGGTAAGGATTAATTTACACACCACGTCATGTAAATATAAAACGAAAAGCTAAAACTAGAGTTTGTAAAACGTCTGCTTTTTTTTTAAAAAAAAAAAGCAGTAATAAGTACAAGTCGATTGTGGCTCATACTGATTGTTCTTTTTCATAGCCGTTGGTTTGTTTTTCTCATGACAATTGATGAACCAGATTCCAACATGAGAACTTTTATTTAATTTTTCTATTTTGACATCATAATTATAACTCTTGTTGATGGATAGGTTTAATATACAAGAAGTTAGAAGGAAAATGAAAGATATGAGACTTTTTTTTCCAGTCTTACGTATGAAAAAGCCATAAAGTCCCCCCCTAAAAATTTTGGCATTCCATTGAGCCATTGATGATTGAATTCAAAGAAAGAAGGGAAGGGAACCATCCCATCAATTGTATCCTGATGAAAAAGAAAAAGGATATAAAAAAGCATTCTCAAAACAGATCACGTTCTCACTTCTTACTTGGTAATTCCCTCACATTGCCTTTGGTTTTTTTTTTCCTCTTTTTTTTTTTGGAAATTAGGGTATCTTCATAGTCATGTTGTGCCTTCGACAAAGTATGCTGATCAAACAAATGCAATCCAACTTAAGATATGAAACCTAGATATCCTTGAACAAGTGTGCATACCAATTACCTTTACCAGTCAACTTCATGCTACCAATTTCTCCTTCTGTAGTTCTCTGCTTTCTGCTCTTCTTCCCATAGATTCTATATTCCCATCCTCCTATATTTTGCACACGTAAGGCCAAGTGTAAGGTGGACGGATCTGCTGATTTATTTGATATTTTGAGAAAGAAAAACGCTTGAACACCACATTTTTCACTCTGCTTTTATTTACTGCAAGGCATTTTTTTTAGGGAAAATTATATCTAAGGATCAAAATTACTATTAAACTTCAAAGGACTTATTATCATATTTTAATCTGCAACAATCGTATTTAAAATTTTATCAATTAATAAAATATGAAAAAATTACAACTTCGGTCTAATTATATAATCCCATTTTACATGGGGCAAGGAATTAAGGGAATGAGCCAAATGTCATACAACAACAACAACAAGCCTTTATCCCACTAGGTGGGGTCGGCTACATGGATTGCAAGACGCCATTGTGCTCTATCATTTATTAAGCTTTTAGAAATATTATTAATTAAGAGATCACGTTCAACAACTTCCAAGAGTGTTCTCTTAGGCCTTCCTCTACCTCTCTTAATCGGACTCAAAGTTATATGTTCCACTCTTCTCACTGGTGCCTCCCTTGGTCTTCTTTGTACATGCCCAAACCATCTCAACCGATTTTCTACCATTTTTTCCTCAATAGGTGCCACCCTCACTTTTTCACGTATGTGCTCATTTCGAATTTTATCTTTACGTGTATGTCCGCACATCCATCGTAACATTCTCATCTCTGCTACTCCAACTTTATGCTCTTGCTGTCCCGTTAGAGCCCAGCATTCACTACTATATAACATTGCCGGTCTGATAGCAGTACGATAAAACTTTCCTTTAAGTTTATTAGGCACCTTACGGTCACAAATAACTCCTTTAGCTTTTCTCCAATTAAACCACCCAGCTTGAATTCTATGTGAAATATCTCCACTGATTTCGCCATCATTTTGGATAATGGCTCCCAAATATCTAAACTTTTCCACTTGAGGTATAATTTGATCTCCCAATTTTACTTCCAAATTATTTTCGAATAGTCCTTTATCAAATTTACAATATAAATATTCCGTCTTACTTCTACTCAGACGAAAACCTTTCGACTCCAATGTCCTCCTCCATAACTCAAGTTTGCAATTAACCTCTTCTCTTGTCTCTGCTATAAGAACTATATCATCCGCGAAGAGCATACATTTCGGGATTTCCTCTTGAATATGTTCCGTCAAAACATTTAAAATCAAGTTGAACAAATAAGGACTCAGAGATGATCCCTGATGTAGCCCAATCTTTATAGGAAAATTCTTTGTTTGACCACTAGGCGTTCTTATACTAGTTTTTACCCCCTCATACATATCTTGTATGGCTTTAATATAAGCAATCCGTACTCCCTTTTTTTCCAACGCTTTCCAAAGCACTTCTCTTGGTATACGGTCATAAGCTTTTTCCAAATCAATAAAAACCATGTGTAGATCTTTATCTTTACAACGATACTTTTCCATTAATCCCCTTAGTAGATAAATCGCCTCTGTAGTTGATCTACCTGGCATAAAACCAAATTGATTCTCAGAAATACTTGTCTCCAATCTCAACCTATGCTCAATTACTTTCTCCCACAATTTCATTGTGTGGCTCATGAGTTTAATCCCTCTATAGTTAGTACAATTCTGAATATCTCCTTTATTTTTATAAATAGGAATTAATGTACTTCTCCTCCACTCATCAGGCATTTTCTTGGACCGTAAAATCACATTAAATAACTTAGTTAACCATCTCACCCCTTCTTCACCTAAACATTTCCACGCTTCGATAGATATACAATCAGGTCCGTTAGCTCTACCATTTGCCATTTTCTTAAGAGCTTCCTTTACCTCCTTATCACGTATGTTTCGATAGAATGACAAATTTTGTTCTCCTTCACCAATTACTAAATCCTCCAAGTTACTAGATGAATCCTCTCCATCATTGAAAAGTTTAGAAAAATAAGTCTCCCATCTATTTTTAATTTCATCATCTGTAACTAAAATTCTTCCCTCTTCATCCTTAATACACCTTACCTGTTCTAGATCTCTTGATTTTCTTTCCCTACTCTTGGCAATCTTATAAATATTTTGCTCTCCTTCCTTCGTCTCAAGGTTCTTATAAAATTCTTCAAAAGCTTTAGAACGAGCTTCACCCACAGCTCTCTTAGTTTCCTTCTTAGCCATACGGTACCTCTCCCAATTTTCCTCATTGTTACACAAATGTATGGCTTTAAAACAGTTCTTCTTATACTTGATTTTGTCCTGTACACTATTATTCCACCACCAAGACTCCTTATCTCTCGGACCAGGACCTTTCGATTCTCCCAAAACTACTTTTGCAACCTCCCGTATCTTTTTAGCCATATCCTCCCATATGATGTTAGCACTTCCCTGAGAATCCCAAATTCTTTTATCCAAAAGATTTCGCTTGAAAATATCTTGCTTCTCACCTTTTAATTGCCACCACCTAATCCTTGGTGTTACTACTTGTCGACGTTTTTGGATTTTACTCATAATACACACATCAAGGACTAGGACCCTATGTTGTGTCGTTACAGCATCTCCAGGGATCACCTTACAATTTTTACAAAGTTTTCTATCTGTGTTCCTAACCAAAAGAAAATCAATCTGCGACCTTGAGGCTCCACTTTTGTAGGTGATGAGATGCTCATCTCTCTTCTTGAAACAAGTATTGGCAATCTTAAAATCATACGCCAATGAGAAATCAAGAAGAGTTTGCCCTTCATTGTTTAGCTCTCCAAAACCAAAACCACCATGCACCCTCGCATACTGACCAGCTTCCCTCCCGACATGCCCATTAAAGTCTCCTCCAATAAAAATCTTTTCACTCTGTGGTATGTGTCGAATCAACCCCTCCAGATCCTCCCAAAATAATTCCTTAAGACTGGCTTCTGTCCCGACTTGCGGCGCATAAGCGCTAACAATATTAACAGTCTCACGTCCAATTATCATTTTTAAAGAAATAATTCTGTCTCCAATTCTGCTAACTTCTACAACGTTCTTCTTCCACTCCTTATCTATAATGATGCCTACTCCATTGCGTGCACTTACTTTTCCTGTATACCAGAGTTTGAAACCTTGAATATCCTTAGCTTCTTCTCCACGCCATTTTGTTTCTTGCAAGCAAAGGATATTGATTTTCCTTTGAATCATAACCCCTACAACCTCTACAGATTTACAATTTAATGTCCCAACATTCCAAGTACCAAATCTAATTTTGCTCTTATGGACTAACTTCTTTAGCCGCGTGCGTCCAGAATGACGCGGTAGCCCTTGCTCATTTAACACTACATCCGGGCGCCGATGCAGCGACTCTAACTCACTTATCACTGTACTCGAGCCATGCAGCGCGTTACTTACGGGCAACGACCTAGCATTAACATTATAACGTCTATTGTCCATGTTCATGATAGATTCAACAAATTTTTACATTGGCTGTTGATGGCCTAACACAACCCTCCTCCTTTACCCGGGCTTGGGACCGGCTATAAACATAGGCGGAGTTATGAGCCAAATGTCATCATTGATGGAATTTGTTATAATCTGGTTTTTTCATATAACTCAACAAATTCAGTAAAAATATGCCTTGTGATGTTAAATCCCCCAAAAGAAAAAATGATATAAAAAGAAGTGAAACAGTTCGTCGTGAGTGGGTCTGATTTTTATAAGCCATGACAAGTACAAATTGGCGATGGCCTACACTATTTTTTTTTTTTTAAATAATAGCTGTTGGTTTTTTCTTCTTCTTCTTTTTTTTTCACCCATGACAGATGATGAATTGAATACAAGGGTTCCAGTTCCACCAAAGGAAGTTATATTCAATTTTTCCATTTTGACTTGCCAATAAAAATTATAAATAGAGGAGTATATGGAAGACGAAAGGACTGTGAGACCTTTTTTTTTTTTTCACATTTGAAAATGGAAATAAAGTCCTTTTCTATGATCTTTCGCCAAGCCATTGATGATTGAACCTCTCTCCTTTGAAATTAAAAGGAACGGGAGAGAACTAACCCATCAATTGTGTCATGGGATGAAAAGGAAAAAGAACACAGAAAACCATTTCCAAAACAGATCACGCCCTGCCTCCCTACCTTGAACTCATAATTCCCTTTGTTCCCTTCACAATCATCACTCAATATTCAAATTCAAAGTCACTGAAACTCAAACAAGTACGTTTAAGAGAGCCTTTAAACATTGAAACAACATACACAGACTCGCTTCAGAGAGAGAGAGAGAGAGAGAGAGAGAGCAGACTCACCTGGAAATGGCGACGCTTCAGAAATTCAAGCTTCTCGCGACACACTGCGGCATGGCTCGGAGCCCAACGCGAAGCCCGAGGGCAAGTCCGATGGTTCAATTCCGGCGCCGGAAAACCACCCTGCGGATGCTACTTAATCGAAACATGGGCCGCCAGTCACCAAGGCGGCGAAATTCGCCGATTCAGCAAAACCATCTGTTCGGTGTACCGGAGGAGAGGAAGAAGGAGAAACGCAAGGAACTGATGCGTCGGAACTCTTTGAAGGAACTATTCGTGTCTTCGCCGCCAAAAGAAGAAGCCAACACGGAGATTCCGACGAGACGGTTAGATTCGGTGGGGACCGTGGTTGGCATTGGCGGTCCAGTTGTGTGGAGCAATGGACCCGGGTCACCCAAACCGGTTTGGAGGGGCTTCCGTATCCGGTCGTTGCTGAAGAAAGGCTGGCACCCTGGGCTTCAGCCTATTTCCGAGTAATAAAAATTTACTCTGCCGTAAAACATGAGTGGATAAAATTTCATGACAGAGTCAAAATTAATTTCAGCATTTACAAATCACAAGTGATCAGCTTGTTTTGTTCAGGCTTTATCAATTGTTAACCTTTTTATCAAAGGTGGTATGAAAGTCCAAATCTGTACTTAGTTTCTTTATTTCTATTTTGAATTCATCTTGAACTATCCCTTGATAGTACTGTACTGTTTAGGAAAAAAAGTACATATTACCTTTTAAATTATGATGATTATAATATTGATATTTAAATTCTGAATTAAGATATATCTTGTATTTTTTGTCTCCATTCACTTACCATAATGCATAAAATATTCATCATGGATTAGAATTATTTAACTTTTCATTTATTAATGGGTAGAAAATTATCTAGTAAATGAGTTGTTTTGATTTGAAAATTGCCTTGGGAATGAATTATTTTGTTCAAGAAGAAAAATTTAAAGATCAAAATAGGAGATCATTTTTTCAGATAAAACATAAGGTCTTATTTTATTAATTATGAGGAATGTGAAATTCATCTTTTCAAACTATTGTTATCCTGAAATTACACTCCAAACTGTTTAGAGTTGACTTACATGCCATTTTTTCATCATAAAAGCTTGTTCTACAGTAAATTCCCCACACTTGGTGACACCAAATGAGTTTTTAAATAATTGTCGTTTACTCCGTTTACTTTTCAAACACAAATTGCACTTGGTGACATGTGACTTTATGGTAAACGAATTTAAAGTGAAGATGCTTCGAAATATTTCCTTTTTAACTTAATTAAACTTCTTATGACTACGACTATGTTTGAAAACATGTCCATACCCTAGCAAAAACTCAGCTTTGGCAAAAGCAGCCCCATTCTGGCATTAGTGGGAGCGTCTCCAAACACTCAATACATTATCTTCATTCAATGAGCGTTAAGAAAGGAAAATAAAAACTTTTTTCATTGTAGCAAACAATATATGTAATACTTAGAACAGTGATATTCTAAATTTTAAGATTCTTGAAGTTGAGTTTATGAGATGATTTTTTTTTTTTTTGTTAAGTGCGGAAAAAGTTAAGCTGGCACAAAGTACAACCAAGTTTAGAGTCAAAGAATGACCTTAATCTTATTAAACCACCTTGTTTTTGGGCCAACACACTACATATTCATGTCGCATTTGTATCCCAGACAAAAAATTTCAGAGGTCAACCCAAGTTATTATAAATTAAAAAAAAATGAAATGAAAATGAGACTACAGAAAATAACACAAACCCCCCTATCAGTGTCTAGATAGCTGCTCGTTATTTAAAGCTTTCTTATTAGGCTCAGATGGAGATTTCCTCCAATCCCTTTTGTTTTCGAATTTTACGTCATTGTCTTTTGGCTGGGACTTGCTAAGGTCATCTGGTTTAGAAGACCCTTGCGAGTACCCAATGTCCTGAGGTACAACACGTTGCAGAAACCTGTGTATCATCTCAAAGCTGGTGAATGTAATTACAGCTGATGGAGTAGTTCTTAGTAAATTTGTCGCGCAACCTCGATAAAAGCCGGGGAGGCCTTCAGTATGGAACACCTTCCTAGAACAGTCAACAAGCCCAGCATATTGGACCCCGGCACTTTTGGCCTGGCCTTGCTCCTGTAGCCTCGAACGTATCACCTAGGAAAGTGACATTAAAAGGGGGAAAAAAATAAACATTTTAAAACTACAGCGCTATTGCAGATGGAGATCCAACAAATGTTTTGCAAATCAATTTACACGGGCTTAGCATACCTCATGTGGATAAGTCATTACAGAGGCAATTACTTTTGAAATTGAGGATGCAATGGCAACTTTTCCTGGACTAAGTTGATCAACAGTTGTATCATCTGAAGTGTTCGAAAGGTTCACTTGATCAGTAATGCTTTAGAAAAAGAGAGAGAGACTCATTTGCTACAAGTACAGATGAATGTGTAAACAAATGTGCAATCAAAATTACCCTTTTCTGCCAAGTAAGACTTGATCTTTTCATATGCAGGGAACTGAATTGCAACATGACTTACACCAGCCAAGGAAGGCACAATGCCACTGTTTCACAAGAACAAACTATCACTGACTCCAGAAAGATGTAGGCCCAGCTCATCTAGCGTTTCTGTTACTTTATTTTTCTTGAAATGCTTAGTTATTCTAGAGTAAATTAACGATTTCATCCTTCAAAGATTACTCCTTCAAATTTTTGGTCCTCTAAAAGCAAAGCATCTCAGTAGGACTCATACTCAAGCTCAACCTACACCTCCACTTAAGATCAATAGCACATGGCCTATTAGACCAAAAAGGGAGCAGACATTAGTGAGCCAATAAATAGCGTAGGCACCACAGGCTGAAAAGAGTAGTTGGAAGTATAAATAAAAAGGGCACTTATATCGTGGAGGAAGGGGAATATTTAAAGGGGGCACATGGATTGATGGGAGAGAACATTGTAGTAAAGGAAAGGGCCCAGAAGGGAGAGGGAGGTACCTGACCACTCAAAAGTCAGTATTTGCGTGAGAATATTTCTGGGTGTGTGCAATTCTTGTTGCTTTTGTGCAAATAATTCTTTTTTCTTTAGCAGTAATACTGTGAGTTCTGGTCTGTCATGTTTTAGATGTGGTCTGTCCAGAGAGCAGAGTGTTTTTTGTTTCAATATCAATGAAGAGTATATTTTGATATCCCAGCAAGTTCTGACATGGCCATTAACCCCAAGCAAGTTGGCATTCCCCAAAATCGCATTGCACTAACAGTCATTTAGCTTTATAAAATGTGCCTAAATAATGCCTTTTCAGGTTCAGGGGAAATGTCACCAGGCAAGTTCAGGTCATAAGTTAACATATAATAGGCATGGGGCTCAGTTAACATCTGTGGAGAGTTTTTCTACTGAATAATACGTTTTTGGGACTGCTTCCTTTAACATCCTAATAAGCTCCCATTCTAGCCACGTGAGCAAGTCTTTTAACTGACCATGAGCTTTGCTTAATGGAAGAATCATTTTGATTGGGGAAAACCTTTTAGAAAACTGAATTGAGAGGCTTTATGATTGAAGGACCAAATTGAGAGAAGAGTGATTTTTAAGAAACTCGATCATCAATTTACTCCTTGAGCAGTGCTGTTAGTTTACATACATGAACTTATATTAACATGCAGGTGGCAAATCGCAAATATAGTGCATATTTGGCAATGTAAATTATCTGTGATCTTCCGCAGTTTATGCAAGACCGTTAATTTTCTTCCACATTTATCTAATTTTAGTTTAAGTCATAATACTCGATATACTGTCTTTCTTCCATGATCTGATGGACTGGACAAGAGAACATCCAAAGCTGCTTGAGGCTCTAAAGAATCCAAATACAATTATCTTTTTGAGATGATACAGCAGATCTCCATAAGCAAGTGGTTGGTTAATCAAAATAGTATTTATTATGTTTAGCTAATCAGAATAGGATTCATTAAATTTATAAAAGGAAGAACATAACAAAAACAAAGATTACTTCAACTAAAGCCAGTTGTTTTCTCTCTCATAAACGTGAGATTTTTTTTCATTTTTTATGTCAACATCTTTTTGCCATTTTAATGAAGCTTACAGGAAAAATGCCATTCATTATTCATTAGCATAAACGTAATGCAGATACAAAGTATTACACCCCCAACACGGGCATAAAAAGGGACAGCTGCAAAACTTTTACCCTATTATTTCGTATAAACTTTCCCAAATCATCAAGCCAAAGAGTAAATATTACAACTAGAAAACTTACCTATATAGTCCTCGTATGCCTTCCTCATGTGTTATTCTCGTCAGTGCAGAAAGAATACTTTTGTACGGAACCACATCAGACCTCATTCCTTGAGTCTAATGTGTATTAAAAGAAGGAAACAAAAAATTCAATCAATGCCCAAAATTACAATAAAGCAAGCCATCAATTACATGAAACGATTAGGAACCTTCAGAGTAATCATATTAGGTTAAAGGAAGTAGTGAAACTAAGCAATTGATCACATGACACACATGAAGATTCTGTTTCCAAAGTTCATACTGAAGTAATGGATTTTTTTTTTAAAAAAAAAAAGAAAAAAAGGGTCCAATGTACACATAAGCAGAGTGAAGAAAAGGGAAAAGAGAGGAATTGGCCAAGAAGCAATCATTAACCACACTTCTTTTTATATTTTCACCTACTTTCCTCAGCAAAATTTCTAATTTCTTGGAAAGACCAAGGTTTTAAGGAATGATTTCAATCACTAATGATTTCTCATATGAGGATAACCTTCTAACCATTGCATCATGCATTGACAACCCATTTTCCCCTCATTATTTTAATATATATAAGGGGAAGGATTACTGCTAAACTAAACTGTAAAGAATCATAATAAAATTCGGCTGATCCTGAAGATATTGAAATGATATCATGTAGCAATAAACACACAGACTAAGTTGGCAAAATATACATATAGACTAAAAGAATAACAAATAAAATTTATGATAAACGATTTCATTGAAACTGAAAGAGTTACAGCCAAAGGGTGAATATGTAATCTCCCCAAACCTTAACCATCAAAGAGTTACAAATTGGAGTAAAAACATATTTTCAAGCCTGATCATTAGCTGGGAAAGAAAATACTTCAGATACAGCCAAGGAACTTAAAATGACATTCAAAGAAATAAGATATGAGATGTAAACAAATGAAAGATTGACAAGCTGAGATTATGAACTTAATATCATAGGCTCCTTTAAAAAAAATTAACTAAAAAATTACAGGCATGACATGCAAATACTTACTTGGAGTCTGGTCTTAACAACCCACAATGGATTTGTTGAAATTGCAGTCGCTGCTCCAGCACCAGCAGCAGCCACCATATTTCCGACAGTTGATAATTGGATGCAACCATCTGCTGCAGTATTACAAATAAAAAATCCTATGAAAATAGAGTCAAACCAGGAAATTTCTGTAAAGACACAGCGCATGTGTTTGGTACTCAACATTTGCATTATATTTACCTCGTGAAAGGATAAGGCCTTTCAGTTGACCATAAACAGAGAAGTACACCTATAAATGGAAAAAATATAGTTGTGTCACTTCAAGAAATATGAAGAGCAACGAAAACAAATACTAGTTGCATGCTACAAGGAAGACTGCATATTCTAATATAACAAATATTCGCCCTCGAACCATATACTCTTAAAAAAGAATCATTGCAAAAAGAACCATATACTCTTCTAATTTTCTTTATACCTCCAGCCCCAACAGTAGTAGATAGAAAACTCAAAATGATGCTTTATCAAAATTAGAAGCATGTGGAAAAAGGGAAAACAAGAGCTTTAAGATTAAGGAGACTAAAAACTTAATATTGATAATAGAAATATATAGTTGCAAGTAGGTAAGTGGACATTGTATTCCCAGGTAACATCATAAAACAAAAGAAATTCAACCTGAAGATCGTAGTTCGCTTGAGTAACATGTAACTCCATTTATTAAGATTATGGCTTGTCTTGTTAGGTAATTGTTAATATTGAAGCATGTTAAAGAAGGGAAGGATAAAAGAGTCACTAGTACACATTAAGTACTAAGTGGCAGAACATTGCATTTTTTTGGTCATGATAATTGATTATCAACGTCCATAGAAAGAATAAAGATGTGGTTAAAGAGCAACAGGAAGAGAAACGCACTGCCCAGGTTGGAAGTAATGCTAGTATTGTTGGGGAAAGGCCACGGTACATTCCCCTGAAACCTTCAGAGTTGACAATATTCCGCAAGCTCGTGATGATGACACTACCTAAGAAATAGCAAACCTCAGCCTGAGAAATCCATTAACAAATTTATGATGGAATTCATTCATGCACATAGAAATAGTACTTCCAACTTATATCAATGAAGGGCACCTATTGTAGGGTGGACAACCTTCAGTTTCAAGTTGACAACTCAAGTCTCAAACTTATTTTTTAAAGGCAAGAAACAAGTGTTTATCGTATATCTTGATGCCCCACATTCGCAAACTTAGTCCAAGACTACTTTTCTATCTTGTTAGATATTTAGCATAAGCGCAGAAATATTGTATTTGAGCAACTGAGCATTAAGTAAAGTGAACTAACTTAAAGGAAAAGTATTCTAGCATGCCTTTCTGCCCATGAGGAAGGCCACGAACTTGTAGTCTCGTCTTGATTACATCCAGTGGACAAACAAATGTAGCGGCTATAGCCCCTGCAATGCAAGCAAGTCAACCCTCCAGTAATAAATTTGACACTAATAAACTTTCCAGCAAAAAAGACCAAACTGTACCTCAAAACATACAACTCACTATTTAAAAAAGAACAAAAAGAAAAGAAAAGATAGAACAGAATTGATTGGAAGCGAAATAACAGAAAATTAACCTTCAGCAGTTGGAATGAAAAAAATAAGAAAAAGACATAAACGCAATGAAACTGAGCTCAAAATTGAACAAGGGCAAGAAGCGGAGTAACTTACCAGCAGCAGCTCCAGCACCCGCGTTGCAGATGATATCTCTGGTGCTTTGATTACCACCATTGCTACTCATATTAAAGAAAACAAGATAATGCAAAATTTTCCTATTCAACGAATTGAAGTTAGTCCCTTGATAGTGTCTCAAAACGAAATCGAATTGTCATGGAAGAAGATCTTCAGAGCTGCTGCTTTTATACCAATCCCGCATTTATTGGCGTGTAGAACATCCCAGAGGACGAGCTACTGAATTTGCGGTTAACTTCTCCGAAGGGTTTTGTTGAAGCGGTGAATTGGTCTAAGAATGATGTGGGCGTGAACAAAACGACTTGGAATGGAAAAAAAACTAAGAAATTAATGGGAATTCTCATAGACGAAAAACGGTGTAAATTTGACTGGACTGGATGTCCGAGTTCTCCTTCTCTCTTTCTTCTGGGTAGTTGTTTTTATTCTTTCCCAGAGTACCTGATGCCAAAAGGTGCGGGCTTGAGAATTGATTCAAGCTTTATCAATTTTAGAGCTGACGTTCCGGTAAAATTTGTGAACCTTTCCGTTTGGCGAAGCAGCTCATTACATTATTGGTGATTTTAGAACAATCGCAGATTCGGGGTAAGAGAAATGACGCGAGGCGGTTAATGTTGCCTGCTGGCTAAAGTTTTTTTCTTTGAAATCCTGGAGCCTTTCGCTGATTCATATGAATTTGATAAATCGATGCATCATACATGACGTCTGTTTTTCAGATTCTCGAAGAAGAGATTAAAAAAAAAAAAAAATTTGATAACCGGATCCCTGATAAATATATAAATAATAATTTAATTTTTTTTAAAATGTCATAACTTTTTAAAAAATTTTAGAGACTTTCTTATTATTAATAAATTTATATAAATTATTAAATTTTTTCTATTAAAAATAAATGATTCACAATTTTTATATCCTTCATATATTCGCAACAATACAATAGCAAATAAAAAATTTAACATGTAAGTTATAATTTGTTATTGTATTGTTGCGAATATAAAAAAAAGTTATGATATAGGAAAAAAATTATAAATTATTTATTTTCAATAAAAGTAATTTGATAATTTATATAAATTTATTAATGATAAAAAATTTCTAGAGACTTCTAAAGAATTATAACATTTCAATGGATCAAATTATCATTTATATGTTTTAGAGAGATTGAGAAAAACGTATAAAATAAAAAAATTATATTAAAATCCTACACACAAAAGAATTTAATTATTATAAAATTTAGGAAAAATTACAATAAGTTCCTACACATCAAACTTAAATACTCCCAGGTTCCATAAATAAGACAAATTACTATGAAGTCTCATGATTCTTAGGGGTAAATAATTTTCAATCTGAAAAGATCATTTGCCCTTGACTGATTAAATGGAAAGAAAAGAAGGAACCAGGAAATATTTGGCCCATTTTCCTTGTGGTGGAGACCCTATTTTGAATTGTGAGGCACGATTAATGTCCCACTCTGTCTAAAACTAATTATCAAACTCCCTCTCATTTCTACATTGTTGTGTCTTCGAAAATCTTTGAGTGAATCTCTTCTACCCTCTCTTCTCTTC